TAAGTGCTGTTGTAATGCTTACTGATGAGCACCTGGGAAAGTGCTTTTTTTATAGCTGAATGACGAAAATCCCTTTTTACAAAGATTGAATGATGGGTAGTAGCTCTGTACATTTGTTTCGTTTGTTTACTGTGCGCGTTTTCATGGTCTGGTTAGTTATCCGCCAAGTTCTACGTTCAGATGAAGGCAACGGAGGAGGCTCCCCGGGACAAGGCTGAGGGTAATGGACTCCAAGCGGCCGAAAGCAAAGAAACTGCAGCTGATGAAGCCAAGGAAGAAAGCCAGGAGAAAATAACTACGACGATTGAGTCGAAAGTAACAACTGAAATTGAGCTGAAGGAGGCCAAGGAGAACGAGCCGAAAGACGTTGAGGTTCTTGTAACGAAGGAAATCAAAGAAACAACTGAGATCAAAGAGTCAGGAACAGATGTCGAGATTCTTGTGACAAAAGAATCAACTGAAACCAAACAATCGGGAACAAATGTTGAGGTAACAAAGGAGGTCACCCTAACAAAGGAGTCAACTGAAATCATTGAATTGGGAACAAAGGAGGTAAAGCAACCTCTGTTGAAAAAAAGGCCAGCAGAAGATGTTGATGATGCGCCAGAGGCGAAGAAGCCAAAAGGTACTCCATTTCTTCTTCAATTTTACGTCTTCGGAAATATTTTTTACTTCCACGTGTTGCTTTTTCAGAGCGTAAATTGAAATTTGAATCGACATATCTACGATCTATACCCTCGGCTAGTCAATATGAGAAGTCTTTCATGCATCGCGATATCATCACACATGTCCTTGCTACCGAGTAAGTTTCTATGGATCATTCTTTTCGTCAAATTCATTATTCATCTACAGCGACTTCTTTATTTTCTCAATTCTCCTGTTATTTATTGTGATGCTGCAAAATTTTGGATGTTCACATAGATTAATTAGCTCTGTTCCTCAAAATTTCTATTTTTAGAACGGATTTTATCATAACTGCTAGCATCGATGGTCATCTGAAATTTTGGAAGAAAAAGTATGCAGAAGGTGTGGAGTTTGTAAAACATTTCCGATGTCATTTAGGTGAGATTTGCTCATCAATATTGCTGGTATTTATGAATATTGTCTCATGATTTTCAGCTTCTTTTTCTCACCTTTGTGTGAACTTCAACGGTACACTGCTTGCAACTGTCTGCCAGCAGGACAAACACGTAAAAATATTCGATGTCGAAA